TTGGTCTTTATTCTCTATTCTGTTACTTTTCTTTTCTTATAAAATAATATGCTGTAAAATTATTTATAAAAAAATTATTATTTTTTATTTCAAAACATTAGTAAAAAAAAATTATGTGCTAGTTGAGACGGGTTACATATTTCTATTAAAAAAAAAGGGTACTGATTAAGACAAATAATGTGAATGTAATGCATTAATTTTATGGAGTTCAGTAACATTATAGTCATCGAAGTGTTCACAAATAATACCTGATGAATTAGGAATTTTAAATCGCTAATATTTTAAAAATTTAGAAAAAATATATTAAAAACTGTTCTAATAATGCTTTTATTTTTGGTGCAGATATTAACTGGAATATTTATATATACGTGTTTTATTCCGTTTTACAAAGTTTAGTTTGAACCAGTAAAAAAAAGAAGAAAAAAAAGGAGAAATAAATGTTGGTGAATTTAGTGAAGGGAATATTGATTTGGTTAATTATGTAGTGAGAAAGAAGGTTTGAAAGCGAAAGTGGAAGAGAATATATGGTGAATAATGATTTGTGGCAGCTTGTTCTTGAAGCTCAAGATATCTGTTTCTACCCTTCTTTTACTTTCTATGCCGTGTCATGGATTCAACAACCTTTAATTAACACACTCTCCTAATAGTTTCTTCTTGTGTTGTACGTAAGAACCAATCATTCATTAAAAAAATAGTATTATAGTAAAGGTGGTAGAAAAAGCTGAAAAATCCACTATGTAAGGATACGAAACTAAAAATAATTTACAAATACAAATCGTTTGTGTTGTTACGCATCTTCAAATGTTACATCAAATATTTAATCCATTTACGAGGTTTTATTTAACAATGTTTTCAGTATTTGTTATTTTCTAACAGCTGAGGAAAAACAATTATTGTACATCGCCCCTGTTATTGTTGAGAGGAATATTCCACCTAAATATTCCTAGGTCAGGTCCACTTTCATATATAAACATTTCTTTTCAACTTCAATTTTTAATCTTACAAAAAATTGAATTTTGAAGACAATATATATTTGCTTTAGCTATGTGTGATGACAATTAGGTCTGTGTTATTTTTAAATACTTCTTGAATTATCAAAATACTAATATTTTTATGTAGTACTTTATTTTTAATACATTAACTAATCTAATCTCCTTCAGAAATTGTTTTACAAATTCCTGGTCAGATTAAAAAAAAGTCTTATACTAGTAAAAACGAAATTATGAAAAAATCTTTATACTTAAATAAATATTCTCTTCTTTAAAGTATATTAGAATGTGGAAGGAATTAATAAGGTGAGTAATGGGCCCATGGGCCTGGAGACACTGTCCGTGGTCCAATTCCTTGTGGAAACATGACAAGTACGGTCCTTCATAAATGGGCCATTCATATTCACACTTTTTTTTGCCTTCTCAAATAAATCCATTCCTACCCCTCTCGGCTTTGGTTGTGTTTTGACGGAAAAAAATTGTTCTTATTATGTGGGTGATAATAAACCAAATAAAAAACAAAGAAATATTTATGAAGAAACATAGTGAGTGTGAGAACCTATAGAGAAAATAATGAAAGGTAAGAAAAAGTGATGCTTGTACAAGAGAAAGTGAGAAGGTATCTGAAGAAGATGAGGTGGGCATGAGGGTGAGAGAGAGAGTGTGAAATAGAGGGTAGATGATCAATTTTAAAGACAACATAGAAAAAGTGGGGTGGGAAGATACAAAAAGGGATGTGAATAAAAGTAGTTAGTATTGAGAGCCCAAAAGAAGAATAAAAGTGAAAACTCATTGGACCAAAGAAGGGGCCAACCGACACTAAACTAGGCTGAAACACAAAGTTATGGCCCATAAAAATAAAAGTAATAAGACTGAATTATAAATTATAATTTTGGTTCTCCTTAATAATTGATTCATAATTTTCTTTACGATTTTATATTCCAGATAAAATATTTTGAGTTTGAGAAGAAAAGGGATGGCAAAACGGGCTAGGCCCGACGGGCTGACCGTCATAATATGGCGGGGCGGGTTGGTGTTTTCAGCCCGCTTTGGCCCGCCCGCCAACCCGTCGGGCCAACCCGCAGGACGGGGCAGGCCAGCCCGCGACCCGCCTAATTAATAAAAAAATAATTTTTTATTGTAATAAAACTAATTATAAAGATAATATATAAAGTTAAAAATTTTAAAAAGAGAATTAAAAAAGTTTTATTTTCACAGAAAATATTCTCCTTCCCGAAACATAACCTTCTCTCCTATTCTCCTTGTTTATCCTAAGCACTAATTATTTTTATCCTTATTACTTGAATTAAAGGTGTAAGAATTACTCAACCAAGAATAATATGAAGTTTTATCAAATAAAAAAGATATAGGTATTTGAATTTTTCAATATAAAAAATATAAATTTTATAAGTTTAACGTTATTTATATATATATATATATATTTGTTATTATTTATTATTATGTAAATTTTATTATTGTTCTAAATTATAATTTCTTAAAATAATGTATTGATTTATATTATTAAATTGAAATAATATATATATATATATATATATTGAATTATTGACAAACAAATAATAATTTTATTATTAAATTTATTAAAAAAATTATTTTTAAAAAAATTATTTTTTTCTAAATTATAGCGGGTCAGCTCGCAGTCCACTAACCCGCCCTTGGCGGGCCAAAGGCGGGGCGGGCCAAAATGGGGGTTGACCCGTTTTCCCATCCTAAGAAGAATGCCTACACATAAACCAGATTTTTTTTAAATCTTGGAATTTTGATCTGATTTTTATTTTTTACATTTTTTTTCTTTCAGTTTGTACCAATAAAAAAAATAAATATATGAAAAATGAATAGTTTTTAAATTGTTTAATTCAGAAATTAAAATAAAAAAAAGACCTCATTCTCGAATAACAAATTGAAGAACGATGAGAGTTATAATTTGAACAAAGAATAAACATCAATCCTCGAATATTCCTTGTAGCAAAGAAAAATAAATGCTCAAATACTCCCAACCGGAATAATTGGATTTTGTCCAACCTCACCAGACACAAATAGGCGCAGTGGACCAAAGTTAAGCGAGAGAGTACATTTTGTTGTAATTTTTTTGAGAAAACTTTAAGAATATACACTTTTTTTTTTTTTTTTGTATTTTATCCTCTAACTTTTATATATTAAAATTTACAGTGTTCCAATTTTAATTTGTTGTCAAAAGTTTATCTTTTATATAGTTAACTTCTTTCTTACACTTCCTTTCATTTTTAGTTTTATGGACACTTTATGCTTTAGTCTATATGATAATAACTCAGTTTTTTAATGTAGTTGGTGATGCAATCAACCTTTCATGAACTACTTCAGAAAAGTTGAAGTCATATCATCCAATAAATATGCCTCAGAAATCTACGAAGAGAAATTTGTAAAGAAGAGCTACTCATTCATTCTGGCAACACAAAGTTGGAAAAGGTTTACAGAAATGTTTGCTAAGAATCGCATTGACAACCCACTTTTGAAGTACTTCTGGAATTGTAATTCCTAGGAAACACACAAGTTTATTTTATATGGCCAGAAATATGCACTGCATAGGGCATACTAGGAGCCATTGCAGAGGATATTTCTGAACTACATACCCCACTGTTAAATAAGAAGTTTTCAACAAAACCAACTTGGTACTCTTTTTTTGCCTGTTTGTTCAATTTCATTCATTCATTATTATTAACCAAAGATTATTCTTTTAGAAATTATTCTTTTAAATGGTGACATGATGAAGACCTTTTTAGATATCAAACTATAACAAGACATAATTAACAAAATACATTCAATATAAATAAAATATTGAATGTAATTGATAAATTGAGAAACTATAAGAAAAAAGGGACTTTCAAAGGATAAAAAAAAAAAAAAAACTATCACATGGGCAAATGGGCCATTGAAAAATCTACACTGCGATAGTCACATTACTGACTACTATCACCCATTCTCTGAGTTAAATGAAAATACTGTGTTTGTGGTGGTCATATCTACCCTATTGATGCTGCAAGACAATGATGTTTGGTATTAGGTTTGGGATAAATATAAAAATTGAAGTGTAAAATATGTGATATACACTTTTCTGTAAAGGAAAGGAGGCAAAGACCATAGATGTGATATTATTATATTATGCACAAATATCAGTTAAGATCCATCCAAAACATTTGTGAATCTCTCACAGCATAACAAAATGAGATTCAAATATTTAATAAGAGAAATTATGTTGAAAGATTCGTGTAGAAACCAAAACATTATGCATAAATACGTATCCATATTTTGCACGTGAAAATAGATAAAACTAATGTTCCTTAAGAAGGGGCGGATGGGATCTTTAAGTCACTTTTCGTTGCCTCCTATTATTTCTTCCCTTCCCTTTTGGGAATCCCTACACTGACGTCAATAGCTAGCTGGCAAGTGGCACCTGTCGGTGATTCTCTTTCATCTGTCCTTATGTTCTTCCCACTTGCACCCAGCCTTTAACTTCCACTATGTTTTCTACCACTTTCATGTGCTTTTTTTAAAGTGACCCACTTGCATAAGGTTCTCTCACTTTTTGGAATATTATTACATAGATTTTATTTTGCTGTAGCTTTCATTTTTTACCAGGTTTCTGTCAAAACCAGTTTTTTCTTTGTTAAATTATTAATGTGTATTTGGTTCAACAGTGATGTTTCTATCATGAAGGATGTGCTGCAGGTCCCACAGAGAGTTAATAATGTTTCAGACATGCTTATTCTTTTGGGTTGTTTAGTTTCTGTGACCTTTTGTTCTTCTCAACCTTTCAACTTTCTCTGCAGTTCTGGTTTTGTGGTACTAACTTCTTAGTCACTTAAGTTCCTCAGAGGGGCGCGAGTTAACCTTGAATAAGTAAGTGCTTTCTGTTAAGATTGTTTCTGAGTTTGAGGTTTGCCTTGTCAGCTTTTGATGTGGTGGTGTGGCTGTTGAAGTCTTGTTAAAAAGGTGATTCATTTTGCAGTGGCAAGCATGACAAGAGGAAGAGCAGATGTGAACTCAAGAAAAAAATTGGTCATAACTGTTGTGGTTTTGGTGATTCTTGGTGCTTTCTTTTACTTTTATTCTCAGAGTAATGATTCATCGATTGTTGAGTATGGTGATAAATCTTTGAAACACTTTGGTTTGAGAGGGGACAAAGATGAGGGTGAATCTTCCTCCACACTTGTTGGAGGAGAGGACAGTGCTATACCAAAAAGCATTCCAGTGAGTTTATTTAAGATTTTGAACTGAATAAGTTTAATGTTTTCTCTTCACACTACCCTAGAATGCTAGTTTCTACCACTAGGGCACATTCAACTTGTTTTTACTCTCCTATTTACCTCTGTAAGGTCTGTGATGATCGTCTATCAGAGCTTATTCCTTGTCTGGACAGAAACCTCATATACCAAACAAGATTGAAGCTTGATTTATCTGTGATGGAGCATTATGAAAGACACTGCCCAATACCTGAGAGGCGATATAATTGTTTAATTCCTCCTCCTCCAGGGTACAAGGTGATGTTTTACACTCAGTGTTTGGAAAATTTCTTTGCTTAAGCTTTTAGTTTCTCATGTTGATCTTGATAATAGATTCCAATCAAGTGGCCCAAAAGCAGAGATCAGGTGTGGAAGGCAAATATACCTCATACCCATCTTGCAACTGAAAAATCTGACCAGAATTGGATGGTTGTGAAAGGTGAAAAAATAGTTTTTCCTGGTGGAGGAACCCACTTCCATTATGGTGCAGATAAATACATTGCTTCAATTGCTAATGTAAGCTTCAATTGCTAATTTGATGCTTCAATTGTTCTGGATCTCTTAATTTTCAACCAAAATTGGTCTTAGTCCCCATATTTTAAAAACAATGATTTATAATCCTCTATTTTGTGTAATTGGTGGCTTTCATCTTTATTTATGAAACTTAGGATACTAGGGTAAGGGACAAATTCCACCAATTATAAAAAAATAGAGTGACCAAAATTTTTTTTGTTTTTTTTTTCAAAATAGGAACTGAGACTAATTTTGACCGTTGAGAACCTTAAGACTACATTTCACGCACAAAATAAGATTAAAGTTTCTCACCTAATTGAGAATATTTAACACTTAATCCATTCGCAATTTTTTCTCACAGATGCTTAATTTTCCAAACAATAATATAAACAATGAGGGAAGAGTCAGGTCTGTTCTTGATGTTGGCTGTGGAGTTGCTAGCTTTGGAGGATATCTTCTTTCTTCAGATGTGATAGCAATGTCACTGGCTCCAAATGATGTTCATCAAAATCAAATTCAGTTTGCCTTAGAGAGGGGAATTCCAGCATATCTTGGTGTCTTAGGGACCCTAAGGCTCCCTTACCCGAGTAGATCTTTTGAATTGGCTCATTGTTCTCGCTGTAGAATTGATTGGCTCCAAAGAGATGGTATACTTCTCCTTGAGCTGGATAGGTTGCTCAGGGCAGGAGGTTATTTTGCATACTCATCTCCTGAAGCCTATGCACAGGATGAGGAGGATAGGAGAATATGGAGAGAAATGAGTGCTCTTGTGGAGAGAATGTGCTGGAAAATAGCTGCTAAGAGGAATCAGACTGTTATTTGGGTCAAGCCTCTCACAAACAGTTGCTACTTAAAGAGATTGCCTGGTACTCTACCCCCACTCTGCAGATCTGATGATGATCCTGATGCTGTTTCCGGAGTTAAAATGAAAGCTTGCATTTCACGTTATTCTGATCGTGAGTCATACATATTTCCTCTATTTTCTGATTTTTGTTTTCTAGATCATGAGATATATGCTGAAGAAAACATTCTCAGATCATTAGTAGTTCTAAAATATGATCATGCAGTTGTTTTGAATAGTTTACCTTATGAAATTGCTTTTGCTATTTCCATTGTAGATAGGTCCATGTCTCTCTGGGTATGATATATTTGCAAAAGAATGCCTCATTTTTCTATGTTGCTCCAGCAATGACTTTATTAGTTGATAACTCTTGTATGCAATAACAGCATATTCTGCTGTTCTGTGCAGAAATGCACAAGGCAAAAGGAAGTGGTTTGGCTCCTTGGCCAGCTCGATTGACTACTCCACCTCCTCGTCTGGCAGAAATTCAATATTCTACAAAAATGTTTGAGAAGGACATGGTAAGTTAAAATCTTTCTTGTTCACCATTTTAGTATGCTCAATATAATTCTTTCAATGATCAAAAACAAGAGGGAGGGTGTTTAAAACCCAGCACTAGTCAACTCATAGAGATAGATAACTGAGACCACATGCATTACTAGATAAAAAATTGGTGCCTAATTCATTGCCTATTGGAAGACCATCTAAGGATGACACCATATGAACAATTCTTTATATCCATTGAATTTGTGGAAATTTTATGATCTTATTCTCCACTTCTAAGATGATCATGGACACAAAATGTATAAGCTTTGAGGAAGCAAACATTCTAGAACTAATCTAACGTAGTGTAGCTTAATAGGCAGGCTGTATGATAATCTTTCAATGGAAAATGACATGAACAATGAAAGAATGTTGGCCAGTTTCATGAGAGATCCAATTTTCTGCAGGAAGTTTGGCAACAACGAGTTCATAATTACTGGAGCAAGCTAGGCAGTAAGATTAAAGCAGACACAATTCGGAATGTGATGGATATGAAGGCAAATATAGGTTCATTTGGTGCAGCTTTGAAGGACAAAGATGTTTGGGTTATGAATGTGGTGCCAGAAAATGAACCAAAATCTCTCGCCATAATATATGACAGAGGATTGATAGGAGCAGTTCACAACTGGTATGCCTCGTTTCTTTCTTGAAACAACTATCTTACCATGTCATTGATGCACAGTTTCCACTGTCTTTGCTGAGATTACTCATCTTCATTAAGCATTACTATTTTGGCACCATTACTATTTAAGTGATGACATAACAAACATATATCATGACACATCACCGCCTCATCTCCTTTGTCATGTCGTTATTTAAAAATAAGAAGGACCAAAATGATAAAATTCATATATTATAGGAATCATTTAAAATAGGAAAATATTTTTATAAATTAATATTTATTATATTTATGATATTTTTAAAATATTATGTCATTTATACACAATATTTTTAGAATTTTTTTTTAATTTTTTTTAGTTTATAATTAATCTCTCATTGATTAAAAATGTCAATGTTAGCTAAATTCATTTAATGTTTTTTTTGTTTCATAAAATAAATAGTTGCAATTTATAAATTTTCCCATATCATAATCATAGGAATGATGCACATGTTTAAACATAAAAATATTTTTGAAATAATAATATTAAAGAAGATTGATATTAGTTGAACTTTGCTTTTGTTTATATACAATCTATTTAAACTTAAATATAAAAAATAATGATTATAAGAAAATTTCATTTATCTCAATCTTATTTAATGCTATCATGTTAAAAATGTTTTTATGTTTAAATTTGGACATAGTTTTTCATTAGTATGATTGAGAGTAGTTTATATATTGTAGTTCTTTATTTTATGAAATCAAGATGAACACTGAATTAATGTAACTAGCATTAACATTCTTCATCAATATGAAATTAGGTATAAAATAAAACATTTTATAAACTATGTTTTTTATAATAATATAAGATTTCAAAAATATCATAAATATAAGAATTATTAAATTATAGAAATAATTTAATATTAAGTCATTCTTATAATACATTATTTTTTGTCTTTGTAAGTAGAAGTGACGATGTAACATGCAAAATGTCATCTCATTACGTTGAATGGCATCATGTGTCTGATGACTGATATTCTACGTGTCACTTTCTCATTTAAGGTCGACCAAGACAGTAAAATTTTATTTTATAAAGATCTAGATAAAACAAAAGAACAAATCGATAAGATGTATATATTAAAAGGAGAAGTAGAATATTTAAGCCTTTTGCATGTAAATGAGTTCAATAATAAATATCATATACATGAAACTTTTGAAGGAAAAAAAAAAGGGGTTTGTTACTTCCATACTTAATAAATACACAATTTTTTACTATCTACAATAAATAATTTACGATAAATTGTTTTAAAAGAGAATAATGATGGTCTAAAATGTGAAAAATTATTATTCAAATAGTATGAATATGTTGGGGTTAGATTTGACTAAACATCACTCTCTCCAACCACAATCAATGCCATAGAAAAAGCTATGGGTAATCTCCACCCAATAAGAGGGGGTTTATTCTAATGGATAAAGGAAGAAAGAGAAATGATATAAAAATGAAAAAACTTGGTTGAGGAGCCATAACAAGCAGAAGGTAAGCTTGTAGCTGTTCTCCTATAAGAAACCTCTTTTCTCCCAAAAACCCAAGTTTGAGTCACAATGCACGAACACCTTCAATTGGTAAAAAAAATTCTTTTTGCATTAATTCATTTAAGCCACACCAGACACTCCACGCTCAACTATGCCTTTTTTTTCATGTTGAGAAAATTTGAGAATTTAGGTTGCATTTTGGAATTTTCACGCTCAGTCTTAGAAATCCCACGCTCACTCTCTTTCGTGCTCAGCTTCAAAAATTCCTAGACTCAGTCTCAGAAAGTAGACTCTCAGCTTAACTTTAAAAACTCAAAATTTATTTCTACTTGTCATTATCTTTCAGAGGTTTTTTTTATTCCCAATTTCTTTTCTTCTTCCTCTTTTCCTACACAGAGAACAAACATTTACATTATGTTCAAGGAGATAAAACATTAAATGTATTCCTAATTCATAGTTAGATTATCATAATATTTAAACAAAAGAAAGTTTTTAACAAGGAAAATACTAGGATATGTAGGTATGCAAAGCATTTATAACCAACATTAATTCAGTTAATCAAATTTTGACTCAACATGATACGATTAAAGGTTAATTTGTTGAAACATGAATGACTACTAAACGCGTGGAATTCGAAGTAGAAGTACATTTTTTAGCTTATATTAACGATGTTGTGCATATGTATATATAAATGGAACAGGTGTGAAGCTTTTTCGACCTACCCGCGAACGTATGATCTACTCCATGCATGGACTGTATTTTCTGATATTATTAAGAAAGAATGCAGTCCAGAGGATTTGTTAATTGAGATGGATAGAATCCTGAGGCCGAAGGGTTTCATCATTGTCCATGATAAGCGTTCAGTGGTGGAGTATGTAAAGAAATACGTGCCAGCATTACACTGGGAAGTTGTGACCATATATGACGTAGATCAAGGTAAAGATAATGATGATGATGATCATGCAGTGGTTATAATTCAAAAGAAGATATGGCTCACAAGTGATAGCATTCAGGTTTCAGAATAGTATCATAACATTCACTCTCCAAGTTACCAATGTTAGGTGTAAGATGGCCAAATCCAAGTTACCAATGTTAGGTGTAAGATGGCCAAATTGATTTCTATAGCTCGATTCCTCAGGCCTAAGCTTTCAGTGTAGTTCTCTTCACTACAGACGTAAGTCACAGTGAAAGCTCACCCAAATCATCTTATCTTTTTATTTGGATTTGCTTATGAAATTTTGGACGCTTCAACATTTATATGCACTCCCAAGAGAGATGCTAATTTTTCAATTAATTTTTACATATTACTAGATCCTTTAGTTTTTGTTTTACAATTTTCTTCTGTTTTGGAATTACGTTTCTCTTTGGCCACCTAGTTATCTCGTTTCTCATAGCCCAGCAGTTTGTTAACCTAGCTGCTCCAAAATGGGTACTATTTTGGCATGGCAGGACTCTGAAAAACATGCATTATATGGAGCTGAGTCCTGTCATAACTTGGGTTGTTATTTAAAGGAAAAACAGTGCTTTGCTCAAACAATAGAGCACAAACCTCAAGTCAAGATGACTGACAGTACTCCTTAAATTGAATACTGTTTATGTTCCAGTGAGGATTTGTTGGTTTCAGACTCTGTTCCTCAATTGTCCCAACATGATCAGTTTATAACTAATATACCATTCATAAGCCTATGCAAACTCCATGGCTTAAAAATCACACTCGACCAAGAAAAGAATGACTACTATTATTATTAACACTTCTTTTGGTGAGTTCAGACCATTATGTAAGTAACATTACAATAACGGGGGTTTTGGAACTTTCGACCCACGAGTTTTCCTTTGAGTTTTTTTTTTTGGTGATCTTTCTAAAGCCATAAGAAGAAAAATAAGTAAAACGAAAGTATCAATATTATGTAGGAATACTTGCGAACATTTAAAGCCTAAATGGAAAAGCATGCTGCAGTTAAGTAATCAATTAGCATCTCGATCACTTTGATGGGAACTTGAGAACTTAACGCAGTTGAGTAATTTCTGATCACTTCTCTAATGTTTCTTTTGGGCTGCAATTGTTGGATGAGAGTAGTTGCCGTAAAATTTTGCTTGTGAGTTTAGAAATTTACAATTTAATTATGTTTTCCTTTTCATTAGGGAAAGGAAACATAATAAGCTGATCAAAATTTGCATTCAAGTCAGTGACAGTTTTAGTTTATTCGCTTTTATTATCTAAGCTAAATCGAATCACTGATTTTGATGAAGCGGCTCTTAAGTGCTTATTCTCATGATGCTATGTTTAATCTCAGAAACTAAATAAAATCACATAATTTAATCTCCCAAAGATATTTGCATCAATCATGACCCCGTTCCACTAGTTATTCAGTATTTAATACTTAGAGACAAACATTCTTTATAGCTAAACATTTTTTCGGGTCTGGGGGGTGTAGGAAGGGAATTTGGGATGGCATATATTCTTCATTATAGATGGATGCATGTTCCTGCTGCCTGTGCTACTTGAGCTACGCTGGATGGATTTTATCATAGCCAACGTAAAAGAACCAAAGAGACATCTTAACACAAAATCACGTCATAGCATTTGCACGATCCAACCACATGTTCATTTAGGGATCTAAGCCAGATCTATATCCATTTGCAGAAACTGTCCATCCCTTACAATTCGCTGAAACTTGTAGACAATAAACAATAATCCTCGAAACTACTAGACTTGACACATGTGGACCATGATAACATATGATGTTTGGGGGTAAAAAGAACTGTGAACCGTAATGTCAATGAGAGGTATATGCAAGAACATACGTGGAGTCGATGACTTTCATCAGGACAAGGCAATATCAAGATAAAACTTTTTCTCTTTTCATAAAATTGAGCTCTAAATTTTTTACGAATTAGTACAACAAAGTCCTACAAAATTGGATTAGTACCATATCATAAGGAAAACACAAAATCATGTCATGTCTTTATAAATAGATAACCTTCCTTTGACTCATGCAGACTTCAACTTGGATGAAGTTGAAGCGAGATAGGATAGAATTCTGTGTCCCACGAACATCAGAAAAACTCCCAAAAATCCTACGGCTTTGAGTGTAGTGAACAAGTCCAACTGCATATGAACAAAAAATATCAGCGGACAAGCATTTCATATAGAAAAAAGGTCGAATAAACTGACAATATTACCCCACCAGAAGAGAGAAAGAACATTGTTCCACCGAAACCCAATATGTATAATTCTTACCACCTCTGCTAGTTAAGCATTTTATTTAATCATTACCAAAATTTACAGGAGACTGTGCTTCTCATTTATTATGATCACCATACTTTATTTGGACAAATAAATATTACCACACAAGAAATTGACAGAAACATGTTGAATAGAATATAAGCAGGTATACCTTCAACCAGAAAAGTACATAGAGCAGTAGGACTGCAGCAATGCCAAGCTGAAATAGGATGGCATATGTAGCAGGTACTGCTGAAGACGGAAAATTTTTCAAGTTCACCCCCAAGCGTAACAACTGTAAATGATATAAAAGAGAATGACAAATGTTATTTGACATAAGGAAGACAGACCAAATCATAAGAAAAACATAATGTAGGTAAACCAATACAAGTAACTTCATAATTGCAAAAACATTGAAGGAAGGTGTCAAGACAATCATCTTTGCATACACTTCTCTCCTACCCTCCTACGCATAAGTGAAGAAAATATTGCCTATATGTTTACACATAAAATTCAAAGCCTTTTATACTGAAAATGTACAACTTGAACATTTAGCAATATCTACCAAAAGCCATCACACCAGAGGCCCAATTTCTTGCAGATAGCTTTATATCTTACGAGCTTAAAGCAATCTTTGACACATTAAATCTTGAACCTTTACAAACACTATCTTTCATAAGACATGTTTCCAAGAAATACTGCTCCATATTTAAAATATGATTTTTGGTGTTCTAAGCAGACTAGACCCCTTGCTCTCATTTTAAACCATATTTTAACATGGGAGCGAGTGACTTGTTTGAAAGGTGATGAGAGAAACAAACAGTTAAATGCAGGAGTAGGTTATCAACTTCGAGTCCACCAAAATGAGGTTTTATGTCCAAAATATACAGGAGAGGAATAGGCATCTCGCTGCTATAAAGAAAGCAAGAAAACAGTGGGCCATTTACAGTCTTCAGATTTTATCCCAAAATTTCAAAAATGTCGTATTTGTTAGAAATATGATAATCATTCATGTGTAGAAGCTTAAATTTTTGGAACCATTGGTTTATCATGTGGTAACAAAACCTTTATGACCAAGTGGTTTGAGTTCGATTCATGCCACCCTTATTCTTCTAGTTAAAGACAGGATTAACTTCAGCACAACCTTGGTGCGTCTGTGCACTGTCCATATGTCAATCACAAAGAGCTATTGGATGAGGAATCATGTTAGAAATATATATAAAAACCATTGATGTATCTTTTGCAAACAGCTTATGCCTTTGAATGGTTGGCTTATGATAGCAAATAATTCAATATATTTTTTGATAAAATTCATTCAAATGCTAGCTAACTAATAAAGAACAGTCACGTAAGTAAATTTAAAGTAACAATAAATTATCATTTCTAGATAACGTCACTGCAGCTTCTTTTTCCACTAATCTTATTTTTCACGTTATCTACACTGCCTTTTCTCTTTAAGGCATCAAAAAACGTGTACCAGTTTCAAGGAAGGATTATTCACAAGACTTACCCCAACTAAAAAGCCAATAAATGGCAGAAGAGTCAAACTCAAGAAAGTAAGAGAGAGGTTCTGGGGTGGTCGTTTTTCAGGCGTCCTGAATATGTGGGCTATCTCAGCTTTGGGACCATATCTTGAGTAAGGATCAACAGGGAGTGGAGGAAGACGGGCTGCCTTCTCAGGTGCTTCTGGAAGATCTAAATCAACATGACCAAGCGGCAGCAAGAAAGAGTTCTCCTGAAACCACAATTTTTTGTTTAGATTGCCTATTGAATCATGCATCATGGAGTAAGGGGAAATCAAGTAAATCAAATATCGCAACATACCATGACAGCATCTCCAACTGTCAGCTCAATGTCATATCTGCCCGAGAGATAATAAAATTTCTCCACTAAACCAAGAAAATCCTAAGAGCCAAAATTACAAGAATATGAGCAAAACAATAACAGTTATAATTCAAAGACAATTACAGCTCAAACAAAATTACAAGCTTTTCAATCCCAGTCCAGCTCAAAAGCAGTTACGGAAGGTCAAATATTGAGCATAGTTTCAAGATGTTAGATAAATAACCCCTCCCTTTCAAGTAGTTAAGAGTATAATTTATCAAAAGCAGCATGTGATTTCTAATGTTGAAAATTATATGCAAGTCATGCACTTAAGACAAAATATTTATTGAACCTTGGCAAATTATAACAAACATAATGAGGACTCAAGAAGAGCATTTGAATGTAGATAATGAAATATTTAATAAAGATACTTAACAAGAATAATCTCAAACTTCTTGCCAGTATTTCCAACCACAAAGATGTGTTCATGCTTTGTCTCATGCTTTAACTTGAAAAATGCCTGCAGAAGAACAATTCTTCAATAAACAGAGCATTGAAATGGCATTCATTTAGAAGGTGTTAAAAGACCTGCAGACCTGATGAGGCTTAAAAGCATGACCATTAGGTGTTGTCAATTCGAAAGATAAGCGCAACTTTTGCAAGTGGTTAGCTGAGAGTTCAACAACAACATTTCCAGCCAAATCTATCCTGGATAGCAAAATGACAATTGAAAAATGGAGAAATGAAAATATGCAAAAGAGTTACTAACAGTTAAATACATTATTCAAGATTTAAATGCATATTTACTAAGTTCATACATTAACAACAATATAAAATGACAAGCATTAGACAGTTAGATGTGCTAATCAGTAATTAGGCAGACAGATTCGAAATATAACTGCAGAGAACTTTTTAACCAGAAATAAAAGCATACTTTTTCTGGGTTTCAACACTTCCAAGATCACTGTCAAGAACTGCAATTTCTGCATTCCTGACGTTGATAATGCCAGTGACATATATTGGTACATGAATTTGACCTCCAGTAGCATAAACTTTCTCACCAGCAGAATCGTGAAGTACAATCTACAAAACAAGCTTGAAATAGTTGACAGGCTAATACAAATACACCTGATGCAACTGAAAGGGAAAATATTCACTAAAAAAGCAGGTACCTCAAAAACAAACACATAAGTTCCCACATCCACATTATCTGGGAAAATTTCCAAGACATGAATTCCATTATTTTTATCATATTGGAGCTCCTGTATCATCAAACATCAGCAATGTTTCAAACAACAGAAAGTAGAACCTACCAGAGATATGAAATAATCCAAGATATATCACTATGGGGGGGGGGGAGATAATTATCAAGCCATGTTCCTCAAAATAAACTACTGAGAATCATCTCACCTTGCTCTCAATAATAGCTGAATCTTTAGCATCAGAGCGGAAAGCTTGGACAAGCTTAACTGTTAAAGGTGGTGCAGCTGAACCAAGTACTGTATTCACCCTAACCTGGTTATTTTTGAAACAGAAATTATCATGTTTTCCCAAGAGTAATTGTAAGTGAGAACCATAAAAACTGCACAATTATGATTGATACCTAATTAACACAAACAAAAGATGCATAGATGTTACTGTAGGAGTACCTCATGTAAATGAATCAACAAGGAATAAATGAGGAAAAGTAGAAATGGAAGAACTCGTTAAGCTCCATGAAAGAATAAAAGGAAATGGGACAAAGGAGAGCAAAATATGAAGCAATTTTAGAAAAATATTGGAAATGAGAGAACTAATAATAACAAATAATATTCTATGGCAACAACAGAAACCTAATCAAAACTAAGAGCTATATTAGTAATTGTTTTGGTATCACTGGATTTTGACAGGAGGTGCAAAAAATGTGCTCGTGAAGGATGGTTCAGGCCAAAGTTGGATAAAAGTCAAAGGACTACAGAATATTTTCTACTCTTCTTTGTTATAAAGGAAGCACAAATTCTGTAAGGTGTTCAGAAAGCCAGTGTCCACACAATCAACCAATCAGATATATAATATACGTGGGAATGGGATTGCTGTTTCTTTCTCTTTGGCACCTAAATTCTATATCACAATTAGTATTTCCCAATTCGTAAGTTCTAATAATTTCAATACTACCAAAATTAAGAATTTAAAGATGTTAAGTTCATTGAATACCTTGAGCTGATCTTTTCTGGATAATGAATAAACTGTTTCAGGAAGTGATAGTACCAATGGGATGGAAATCCTACACCACAAGAAGAAATCCAAGGTACAAAATGCTACCGAATATCATGAAGAGATCAATGAATCAGAAAGAAAAGAAAAAGAAAATAGAGATATCACTATAAAGGTGTTTTCAATAATAGATTGTTCCCAGAAATGCACTTGCTTGCTGTTCTCTAGAAGAGCTAATGATTCAACTTGATCGAAGAAGTCCTTGGCATCACCTGGGATTCCAATGCCTAGGAAAAATTTTGCTAAACCCAACACTTTATCCCCTGGAAGCTGGAAATGCAAAGCCATAACATTAATATAAAATTCTAACAGGATAAAAAATTATAGTATAGTCTCTTACACTCCACATACATTTACTTTTCCAGAAATTACAGCAGCAGATGCTGTAACCCCACGAACAACAGATGAAGTTGTGGAAAGAGAACCATGATGCTCTCGTCCACCAACAAATTTTTCATCAAAATAGAAGGTTCCATCGTCTGAAAATGAGATAATATGTTCATCTTAGGCCAGCAGGTTGAGGAATGTGGTATAAAGGAACAACATAACCATTTAATGCAGTAACAAACAAGTAGTGTCTATTTGGATGAATTGAAGTTATAAGGAATTTGAATTTCAACTTAAATTATGGAACAATTGAAATTGGTATAGAATCATGAAGTTACTATTTGGGTTGCAAAGAATTAGGATATATTATTTGAACTCCAAATCTATTATTTGAATGTATAACCTAGAATTTAAAAATAACATAATATAAATCTTATTTATTTAACATATAATAATCAAATATTTAAAAATTAATAATATTATAAAATAACAGTTTCAAATTACAAAAAAAAAAAAAAGTTTCCAGTATTTATAATATCTTATAATGTTAAAACCTAATAAGTAGGTCTTACATTCACATCTACTTCTGTAAAATCTAGATCTGATTTTTATCTTTCAAACTTACCTTAATGCCATTAACATAACATTATTGTATTACAAAATAAAAAAGAAGTGTGAGGAACATCTTTTGTTTTTGGGTTAAGCAATTTTAATTTCTAGATATGGAATTGACAATTTTTAAGGTCTTGACTAAGAAATGGAATGATCTTCCACTAGTTATTTTGTAATTTTCCAAATTCAGAAAAGTAAAAGAACCAAAAGAAAAAAAGCAACACAGCATAAAATGCAACAACATTGCAGGATACATATCTACCATCTATCAAAAAACAAACTCCTTTAAAGGTAAAGACATGGCTGCTACAGGCATCCATCCTAGGGAAATCTAATTTCAGACATGAATATTAAGCCTTATTTTGAAATTTGAATGAGATTAAAAGCAAAGGTACTCATACCATATTTCTCAATGCTGTCAAAAAGCTTCAGTATATCATTTTTCACTGTATTCACCTGAAAAATTAGGAACGACATAAGATATCAATAGAAGTGTCAGGATGCCCAGGATAAGGTATGGTCCCAAGATGCACCATAAACAACAAAGGCACGTAAAATAATATTGAAACAGACAATATGTCTAAAAAATGCAAAACTGGTAAGTTTAACCTTAGATTCAATATTCATCTCAAAAAAAGGCTAAACTTTCAGTTTTTGAATAGATTTTTATCATTTTGCTCACCATTTAAATTCATTTTCATTTATCAGTTCCCTGCTGGTATTTAACTTTTAGAAATTTAGTTTACAAATGTTCTAACGAAACTTTCTCGACATAAATTTTATTTGGCATAATGCATATACTTTCCACCCATATTAATTTTAGAACTTAAACACAATATGAATCTTTTCAACTAAGCAAGGTTTAAAGTTTAAAATACGGAAGGATGCTGAAGTAAGTAAAGCAACCAACTTAAGACAGACTTTACCCCAGACTGATCAATTTCAGAAGATGCTAACGAGATCACTCCAGCCAGTGCTTCAAGCGCTAACCCTGTGAAATATATGAATAGCTTAAGTTGTCATTATATATACACAGCAATATTTCCAACAATTCCATAATGCTAGCTTCAACGCAGATTGCAGAAAACTTAAAATATGAATGTATTTCCATACAAATCATTACCAGCAGCATAGGTACTAGATTCGGGATTATCAGAACTATAGCGCCATCTCCCATCACTTTGGCTCAGAGTCTGCCAATAATGCACGATATGAAATAACATTACACGTCATGATCTATGAATTGCAATTGCAACAACAAAAACATACTTAAGTTGCAATAATGCATGAAATAACAGGGGCAAGATCCTATCAGTATGATAGATGAGACCAGAATGGTACCCACCGAGAAACAAAATAAATTCCCACTTCACTGAATACCCAAGACAATAAAAAAACGGACCTTGATTGAATGGAAGGTTCCATCGGCATCACTAAGAAGCACATCAACATCAGAAGCCTGATCCTGTATTTATATATAGAAGGAAACGATCAAATCCAGGAACAAACCATAATGAAACATATTATCCCAATGCAGTTTGCAAGTCACAATAAAAAAGACTTAGTCCTTGAAAGAGACACATTGCCGCTATTTAAAATAACATAACATGAAAATTTTGGCATATTAGAAGGACCTGAAGAATATCTTTTACACATCCATAAGATTAGCAGGATGACTCGGATGGGAACTAAAGCCTCTCCAGAGTATTCTAATAAAACCTCACATAACAACCCACTGGTTTACCACCTGCCATGTAGGGTAAAGTCTAGCGAATTACCTTTATAAGAACTAAACTTCCTATTGAATAGTACATGTCAACCAAAGTGCTCGCATCATTAACAGTGGCTTTAAGTCTCGCAACAACATCCTTTACAAGATAAACAAATTGAAGCATCAGCTTTCATACTTGCAATTTAACCACACAATATAAATTTCATAAGCCATGACATTCAAGCTGCAACCTAATCATTAAAAGATACTCATAGCACCAAATTACCTTTAAAACATCCACATTAACCTTGCACTTTAATATGCCATTAACCTTCAATGCATAGAACAAATCCTTCTTAGGGGATGACGACCCAAGATTTTCCACTACTTTCGAGCAAGTGGTGGCGCTCACATCAGGCTTATTTCCAATTGCAAGAATCTCAAAAACTCTCAAGGCCTCATAGGCCTCTTCTAAACTGATAAGAAATAAGAGAATAAAGTAAGTTGTCTAAAGTTTCAGAACGATACAAACCTAACATATAAATTCATGACATAAAACAGGATATTCACAACAGAGCTATAACAATTTTCTAATGTCTTCGGATGTCCTTGGATCTCAATGTTGCATTTGTTACAAACATACTAGACAACAAAAATGACATTAAACTAGCTAATGCACGATTTTCGAAACAAAAATATAGTTAAATGGCGGAAGGGTCAGAGTGCAATGCTCATCATAGTTTGTATCAAGGTTTTAACTAGCGATCCGGTCACAGTTCATTGCTCTGCGATGGAGGTGACCCCAAAAAACCTTATGTTGGGGCCAAAATTCCGGTCGGGTACATTTTTTTAAACCTTGGTTTGGCTTTACGATACTCTACTTCGACAAATTCTTCACAAATTACTCCAATTCACGAAATTAAATAACGACGAAACCAGCTACTCTGACGAGGCTTCAAACAAAAGGATCCATTCACTACATACCAGAATTAAGCTAAGCATATACCAAACTAAACAATACGCAAGAAACAGAGCTAGATAGAGTTCAATTGACCTTGAAAATGATCCATCGAAGAGCTCCGACGCGGCGGAACGGTGAGCATCCGAGACGGGGCCAGTAATCGTTGCGGCTCCGCAGATCGAAGCAGCGAAAAGCAGCGCCAGTAATCCTCCTAGGTTTCTGGCCATTCCTGGACCGATGAATCTAAGAATTTCAAAACAAAGCGAATCGCATTTACAGTTTGGAAGTGGATCGACGAATATTAGGTTTTTGAGATCGAGAAGATGAGAATTAGGATACCGGAAGCAGCAGGAAGATGAGAAGGAAGGAATGCACTTGGCAGCGACGACTTCGACTTCAACTGAGGAGTGTTCCTTTCGAGTGCAACTGAACTAGGAGTCGTCGTCGTCTTTGGTCGTGGCATTAAATTTTATTTCCAATATTGTCCCTGAACCACGTTTTAAGTACTCTTTGCAATAAGAAAAGAACAATGTTAAAATGTGTATTTTTTTATTAAAATATATATAATAAAATTTATGTATTGTTATAGAAAACGTCTCAAAGCTGAGATATTTAACATGAGTTATTTTATTACATTATATCAATTGAATTTATAAATCCAAAAATCCTTAATTTAAATTTCTGAACAAATATTGAGTCTTATTACTAGTTTTAATTTCTGAATAGATATTGAATCTTATTACCAATATAATTGAGAGCGGATATTGTATGTTAAGATAATTAGAAATTGGATCTTACAGGTCAAGATATTTAGACACTGATCTAAAACTTAAGAAATTAAACTCATCAAAATATTCAAAATTTGACAAATTCATCAACCAATACATAGTCCCCAATCTAGAGGGGATTGAGAGACTATAAGGTAGAGTTTGAAGGTGTTCAACCCATCCAAATCAGTGGAAGAGAATTATTGATTTTCCAATGTATGTGTAATATTTTAAAGTTTCCTACTTTCAACATAATTTTTAAATTTATTGCATACAACATATATATATATATATATATATATATATATATATATATATATATATATATATATATATATATATATATATATAACATTATGAAAATTAAACATGTTTTTTTTATCCTCCATCGATCTTAGACAGTAATAAGTACTTGAGTTATATGTGTTACATTATTAATAAAAGTTAAGAGTAATGATTGAAAAATGGTGGATTTAAAAAAAAAATATTTGTGTTACATTATTTAATATGAAAAAAACCATTTAATCAAATTTCAATTAGTACGATAATATGAAGATTTTTTTAACTATCTTAACATTTCATAATCTTGAAACATTACATATCATTTATAATAATCTACCAATTATCTTTTAGAAAAAGAAAAAAAAACTCATAATAATATATTTAAATATCTCTTTAGTTTAAGGGGAATCTTTTCTCAATTTTAAAGTTTCATTTATTTGATTGTTATATGTTTTTTATAAAAAGAAATACACAAATAATCTCTTGATAAAAAAATTAAATATTAGTAAGAAAGATAAAGTAAAGAAAAAATACATGTTACAAATATCAGTAAAACTTAGTGATGCTTAATTATATAAGTTAATATAAGTAAAATTTAGTGGTGCTTATAGTTATATAAACTAATTATAAAATATACGTGGAAAGTTAGGATTAACAAGTTTATATATACCATAGGATTTTAACCATGAAGGTCGAAAAATTAAATATAATAAGTGAATTTAGAGATTTAAAAAGTTTTGAATGAGATATGTATATAATAGAGGGATGATAAATGGACAACGATTCTAAAACAAAATATCCAATAGATAACTCTCTACTAAATAGATTAATTAAAAAATCATATTATATTATTAAATTAAATTCTCTAATAGTTGTTTCTATTAAAAAGAAAAAGTGAATCAATATTTTTTCATGATATATGAAACGGAAAAACTGAGGCTTTTTTTCATAAATAATACTCTTTTTTAAAATATTTTCCAAAATAGCACATCCTGGAACATTATTTACGAAACTAGGACGGTTTATTGTTCACGTATTAAAATAATCGATTATTCACTAGTGGAAAAATAGCTTTCTATGACGGGTTTTTATCACGGTCGTAATCCACCCGTCATAGTATGTGGCGCAGTGGCAATTTTGTAATAAAATCATAAACTTTCTATGTCGGGTAAGTTTTAACCGACATAGTAAGTGGAAAGGTCACTTTCTATGTCGGTAAAATTTACCCGACATAGAAAGTGAACTTTCTATGTCGGTAAAATTTACCGACATAGAAAGTGAACTTTCTATGTCGGTTATAATTTACCCGACATAGAAAGTACTTTTATGTCGGTTAAATTTTTAACCGACATAAAAGTACTTTCTATGTCGGTTGAAATTTAACCGACATAGAAAGTGTATATTAAATAAAAAAAATTAAATATATAAGTATATAAATATTTATATATCAAAATATATAAATATATTTGTATTTATATATTTTGTATATAAATATAATTTATTTGTAAGTTATGTATCAGAAATTCGTAGTAGTTTAGTGGTTGGAGTATCGGTCTCCAACTCTAAGGTACTTGGGTTCGAATCTTGTTAGACACAAATCTCTTAAACAGATAATAAATCCTACCAGTGACAATTTTCGTAAAAAGTCCATTACTTTCTATGTCGGTTCATTACAACCGACATAAAAAGTCATACTTTCTATGACGGTTCATCACAACCGACGTAAAAAGTCATACTTTCTATGACCCTTGTATCTATGTCGCCTCTTTAACCGACATAAAAAGCCTTTTTTGCACTAGTGATTTCATATTATGATCGATTACTTCGCGCAGTCAATTCTCGCTCACGCGAAGACACCCTTCGCTTGAGCGAGGAAATCTGTAACAAAGGGTAATCTCCGGTCAATTTTCGCTCAAGCGACGGGTATTTTCGCTTGACCGAGAAGTGATTAAAGTATGTGGTGACCAAAGTTGCGTTATCTGGCTAACTGCGGCGGACGTTTAGCCCTTGGTCAATTCTCGCTCAAGCGATAAACTACTTCGCGCGAGCGAGAATTGATTGGGTAACTGCGATGGACCGTGGTCAATACTCGCTCAAGCGACATATCTATCGCTTGAGCGAATAAATTTATAATCGATTATAATGTGAACTAATCGATCATAATTTTAAAATAATCGACATATAATAGCGGTTCCACGTTAACCGCTATCTAAAATATACTGTTAATAGCGGTTATTTCTGCAACCGCTATCTAAAATTTCAGGTCAATTATCGCTCAAGCGATGGGTACTTTCGCTTGAGCGAGAAGTTATTGAAATATGTGGTGACCCAAGTTGCATTTTGTGGCTAACTGCGTTCGACGTTTAGCTATGGTCAATTATCGCTCAAGCGAGAGACCCATCGCGTGAGCGAGGAAACCTGTAACTATTTACAATGCTGAGTCACCCACCCAAGTCAGGATTCCCATGTCTTTCTGATGCACACAAGTAAAGAATCCAATGCTGAGTTACCCACCTTAGTTAGGATTCCAATCTTGGATTCCCTGCATTGGGTTAGACAAAAGCAGAAGAATCCAAACATATTTAAAGAGATGTTGACCCACCCATTTTGCTTGGGTTTTGTGTGCGTCACAAACCATGTGAGGGAGCATTGGATTCAGACTAATGGACTTCATTATAAATAGACCACTTTCATTCTTTGAAGTTCTCACATTGCACATTCTTAAATCTCTGAAGCTATTTGCATTATTTCTTCTTCTTACCTTTAGTCTTCTTTGTGCTCCACACTCCTAAAATGGGTGTAGTGTCTACTATTGTCCACTATGATGGTTTCATGAACCCATGTCCCATGGAGGGAGTTACCTTTAATATTGGGACAACAAAACTTGTTCCTTTAGAGAGAGGAATTTCTCTACAAAGGTTGAAGAAGTAGATCCACAAGAAATTGGAGAAAGAACCCCACGAAGTTGATCTACAAATGTCTCAATGTATGAAACTTAGGAGTTTTCAATTAATTGAAAGTGATGAAGATCTTATTGAATCATTTGATAAAACGAAGATCTTGTGGGTTTGATGAGTTTTGTGAAAAGTTTTGAAGAAACTCATTCTGCAGGAGCTGCATAATCAAGCGAAGAAACTCCGCTTAAGCGGAGAACACATAAGATAGCGGTTCTATACCTAACCACTATTAAAAATACATTTTAGATAGCGGTTAACTTGGAACCACTATCATATGTGACACAAATATAATTGGACCCTGGTCATTTTTTGCTCACGCGAGACATCCATCGTTTGAGCGAAACAATTTATAATCGATTATAATGTGAACTAATCGATTATAATTTTAAAATAATCGAACATATAATAGCGGTTCCACTTTAATTGCTATTGAAAATTTACTTTTAATAGCGGTTGGTTCTAAAACCGCTATCTAAAATCTCGGGTCAATTATCGCTCAAGCGACGGATACTTTCGCTTGAGCGAGAAGTGGTTGAAATATGTGGTGACCCAAGTTGTTCAGTGCTTCTTGAAAACGATTCATCTTGCTTCAGTGGTGACCCAAGAAATTTTAGTGCGTCATTTACTTTTTCAATTTTGCACAAGGCACTGATCAGAATATTGCAAGTGATAATGGTTGGAAAAATCCCTTTCCCAAGCATTTCTTCAAACAATCCCAATCCTTTTTCAATTGCACCAGTTTTACAGAGAACTTTAATAAGTCCATTATATGTAATATTGTCTAGAGGACACCCTCTAAATAGCATTTCATCGACAAGCTTAAATGCTTGATGAACTGAATCTCTCATAAGAAATGCATTGATCAACGTATTGTATGTTACTGTGTTAGCAATAACACCCTCCAAAAACATGTCATGATAGAAACTCAAGGCCTGGTCCATTTTGTCATTGCACAGCCCATTTATTAAAGAATTGAATGTATAAATGTCAGGTTTACATCCTTTGCTTGACATTTCGCGAAACAGTTGTAAAGCCTCTTCAATCTTCCCATCTTTGGACAGTGCACAAATCAAGCAATTGTACCCCACTGTAGTGAGACTTAGACCCTTGGCTGACATGCTATTCATAATTTCAGCCACTTCCTCTAATCTGCCTTGCTTGCAGAAACCATTTATCAATATGGTGTACGTGATCACATTGGGCTCGAAGCCTTTTGCTACCACCTCGAGATAAAAATTCAAGGGCAGAAACCAAATAACCTTTCTTGCAAAGTCCATCAATCATTATGTTAAACGTGTAGGCATCGGGCTCATAACCTGCGAGTTACCATGCTTCGTTGTACGGAAGATCCTTCGCTTCTTCAAACCTTCCACTAGCAACATATCCATTGATTAATGTATTATAGAGCACAGTATTGGGACTGGGAATTTTGTTCAGCAAGGTCCTTGCTACATCAACTTGCCCCATTCTGCATAACCCATGCATTAAATATCCATAAGTCAGAGCATCGGCGCTGAAACTGTTGGTATTTTGAAGGGTTATGTGTATATGTATTTCTGATATATCATGTGTGTATCTTTTTATTCATGTACTCTATGTATATATAGAGTAAAAATATTACAAAATATTAAATATTCATAATATCTCAATCATAACTGCCTAAATCAGAATAATAACCTAATGTCTTTTTACCTTCTCTCTTAAAAGATAATAAAATCTCTTAATACCCAATTTAAATAAAAGATAATAAAGTAATATTCCCAACATTCCTCCTTACTTTAATATCTATTTATTTGAATTTGATATATTTTTTCCTCCTTTTTTGTTTATACTTCTTGTTATCTTCTTTCTTGTATGAGATCACATCTTCATTCTTTACTTTCTTCATCAACATATTTCTTCCTTTATCAACTTCATCTCCTTTGTTTCTTTCAAACTTCATGGTAGTATTGTTGACTCTTTGATGGACGTTGAAAACGGTTTCTTCATCTACATCTTTATTTTCCTCCTTAACATCAAGTTTCTTCAAGAAATCTTCTTCATGCTTTTTCTTTGACTTTTCTTGTATATCTTCGTTTGTAATCAACTCTTCTTTCATCAAATCTAAAGTGAAACTTTGTCCTTTCATGTGAACTTTGAATATTTCCAAGTTATTTGTATCTCTAATCACACAAACTTTGTGTTCAAAAGACACCTTATAACTTTTCTCCAATAATTGAGTAACACTTAACAAATTATGATTAATATCAGGAACATATAAAACATCAAAAATTAATTTGGTACCCGAATGACTTTTAACTACAATTGTTTATGTACCTTTCACATCCATTTGTTCTCCATTACCAATTCTCACTTTAGAAATATGTGATTCGTTGAGCTCTTTGAAAAGTTTTCGATCATGAGTCATGTGGTTTGTACAACCACTGTCTATTAGCCAACCTGTGGATTTATTGATTGTAGAGCATGTTGATGCAAGGAGAAGTACCTCTTCTTTTCTATCCTCTATAAATTGAACTACTTCCTCTAGTTGTGATTTGCATATCTTTTCTATATGTCCCAATTGACCACATTTGTGACATTTCACATCAGGTCTCCACCAACACTTGTTGGGTGTGTGATTATTTTTCTTGCAATAAGGACAAACAGAAAATACTTGTGATGTTGTACCTTTGTTGTTTTTGGCTTGGACAGAACCTCCATCATGATATAATAAAGAACCTTCATTAGCAACATGATTTCCTCTCATCAATCTTCGTTGCTCTTGCGCTTCTAGGGACCCAACAAGTTCTTCAAGGGTGAGCGTTGACAGATCCTTGGACTCCTCTATTGCGCACACAATGTTCTCAAAATCATCTGTTAATGATCTTAAAATTTTTTCAATAACTCGGTTTGATGAAAGACTCTCACCATTCTGATTCAGCTTGTTCACCACGGTCTCCACCCGAGTAATGAACTCGGATACGCTTTCAAACTTTTTCATCCTCATGTTTTCAAGATCGCCCCTAAGGGTTTGAAGTCGAACTTGTTTCACCCTTTCATTTCCTTTGTTTGCTTTTTCAAGTGTATCCCATGCTACTTTGGAGGATTTTTCGTTAGCTATCTTCTCAAAACCAGATTCGTCGACGGCTCGGTATAGTAGATACAAAGTTGTCTTGTCTTTAGCTCGAACGGTCTTCAATGCGTTCAACTGGGCATTTGAATACCCATCTGTGTTCGCTGGTTCCTCATACCCATTCTCGACCACATCCCAGTTATCTTGGGATCCGAGAAGAGCCTTTATTTGTACCTTCCAATTGTCATAATTGGCGCCTTTCGTCAACTTGGGTAGCGGGATGCCATTGGTTATACCTGTCATTTCCTCTCAAGTGTTTGCACTCAACTCACACACCTCACAAAGTTATGAGTTGCTCTTCTCTCTTTCTCAGACGCTCACCTCACACACAAGCTCTGATGCCAATTTGTTGGTATTTTGAAGGGTTATGTGTATATGTATTTCTGATATATCATGTGTGTATCTTTTTATTCATGTACTCTATGTATATATAGAGTAAAAATATTACAAAATATTAAATATTCATAATATCTCAATCATAACTGCCTAAATCAGAATAATAACCTAATGTCTTTTTACCTTCTCTCTTAAAAGATAATAAAATCTCTTAATACCCAATTTAAATAAAAGATAATAAAGTAATATTCCCAACAGAAACCACGAAGGAGAATTCGGTCAAGCAACTTCACTGCATTATGTGGCCAACTGCGTTGGACGTTTAGCCTGTGGTCACTTCTTCGCTTGAGCGAGAATTGACCCGAGATTTTACATAGCGGTTCTATAATTCACCGCTATTAAAAGTATATTTTATATAACGTCTACCGTGGAACCACTATTATATGTATACTTTTTAGAGCGTTAAAATATTAACCGCTCTTAAAAGTGACACATATATGATATATGATCGATTAGTTCACATTATAATCGATTATAAATTTCGTCGCTCAAGCGATGGATGTGTCGCTTGAGCGATAATTGACCACGGTCCAACGCAGTTACCCAATCAATTCTCGCTCGAGCGAAGTAAATCATCGCTTGAGCGATAATTGACCAAGGGCTAAACGTCCAACGCAGTTAACCAGATAACGCAACTTTGATCACCACATATTTTAATCACTTCCCGCTCAAGCGAAAATACCCGTCGCGTGAGCGAGAATTGACCGGAGATTACCCCTTTGTTACAGTTTTATTCGCTCAAGCGAAGGGTGTCTTCGCTTGAGTGAGAATTGACTGCGGGAAATAATCGATCATAATATGAAATAATTGATTATTTTAATACGTGAACAGTAAACAGTGCTAGTTGTGTAAATAATGTTCTAGATGTGCTATTTTGAAAAATATTTTTAAAAATAGTATTATTTATGAAAAAAAGAAAAAAACTGAAGGTATAGAAGCATAAGGAAAGCGGTGATTTGATTGTTTTTTAGAATTATAATGTTGATATTGAATTAAACTGTAGGATAAATTGGTAAAAAAAATTAAAAAGAAAGCGTTAAAATTTGGTATATAATTATTTAATGGTTTTTTTTAATATTATTATTTTAAATGTTCATTTTTTTTCTTAAAATTTAAAAAAACAAAGTATTTAGCACTTTTAAAAAATATTATTTTAAAGAAAATTATTACATATAATTAAATCATAAACGTAATATTTTTTTATATTTATCCTTTTTTTATTTTTTTTCTTGTGTTTTTTAATTAACTATTTTTTAAAATATACAAAACATAATAATTAATAAACATTCACTGAACTTACACAAATATTTATTTTAAATATATATAATTAATATTTTTAAAAAATATTGATTATGTAAAATATATATATTTTTTACAAGAGAAGGAAATTGTAATTAACAAGAGAAGTTTTAAGGAATTTAAGAAAAAAATAAAAAACAATGACCAAATTTTATTGGAACGTGAACCTTCCAATTTTTATAATCTTTTTATATATTTACAATTCTAACTCGATAAACTTAATAATTACTTTATATATTTACTTTAATATTTATAATTTGCATCATCATTTAATTTTTTTCTCATAAATATTAAATATATTAATGTTTTTTCTCATAAATATTAAAATATATATTAAATATATTCATATTTTATATTCTCTTAAATAAAAAATCTGCCAGTTATGTCATGAGGTAATGAATTTACGTTAAAGTACTTGATAATGAATCCTAAAGATACATATTAAACCCATCAAACCTTTTGGAGTTTGACCCATTCATCCAACAATATCGGCATAAAATCAAATCAATTGTAATTTTCGTTCCTATATTTTATAAAATTCGTAACTTTTTTTATTTTTATTTATTTAACTTTCAATTACCTATATAATATTGATCTTAGAATTTTTTATATAATTTTAATATTTCAATTTTTAATTTGATTATTGGCAATATTTTGTTACTTTGACATGATACTGAGACTGAAAAAAGACTTTTCTACAGAATCGGAAAAAATTATACTGCAAAGATAGGTTATTAAATGTAATCTGATAGTAATTTAATATAATTTTTAAAATTAAATAAAATTATGAATAATAAAAAAATAAATATTAAAATTACTTACTTAAAAAATGAATTTAGAGTGTATGAATAATTAAATAAAAGATTAAAATTTCAGAAAAGGAGATAAAAAATACAAATTATATCAAATATAGATACTAAGGGTAAATGTTTGACAAGCAATGTTTCTGGGCGCATGGGTGCGGAGGCCTACGGTGGAAAAGGGGAAAAAAATAGTAGGAGAAAATGAAAAGAAGAGGACACGTAATTTTTAAGATTTAATGGTTAATCATGTTTTACTGTAAATAATCATTTTACTTTTTAATTTTAATTACTTACTCTTGTGGTTTAGGTCATCACAAAGTATGACGCTATATACAACATGAATCTTTAAAAGAATAAAAGACGAACAAATTTTCACTATAAAATAGAAAATGATAACTATAACGTTTTTGATAAAAGAAATTTAGTCCTTAAACCATTAACACGAAACACGTGAGTTCCCCCTCTCCTTTTCTCTCATCCAATTCATTGTTTTATAGAAAACTAGTACAATTTGTAATGTAAGACCTAATAAAAACCTGTATTTATAAAAAGGAAAGGGTGTGTTCATAAATCCTTTTTCTTAGTTGGGAAAAAGAAAATGCGTGTACAGTTTATATTATTCATTCATGTAGCTGGTTCTTGCTGCACTTTCATCTCGTTTTGAAAGCTGGCAATCACCCAGCGTTGAGACAAATAATTTCTTATAGAATATCATATTAATTGCAACACAACTCAATCTTTTGGCTTTTCAACATTGTTCACTTCATTCTAATACAGT